CCAGGAATCTATCAAGCTTGGAGCAGATGGGTTGCAGAGAATGGCTAGACCAAGTGTACCTACTCTCCTGGAGAGGAATATCTATAAGCTCATTTTGGGATATGAAGTCTGAAAAGGCGTTCATACCCCTAGCTTAGGTGTGGGCAGTGTTACTCTCGTGTGACCATCTTATAATGTTAAAAACCTCCCCCAGACACCAACAAGGGTGAGGTAAAGTAGCAATATTGTCCAGTTCCGCCTAGAATAGAGGTCTAAAAGCTTCTGAATTAGGATCGTAGAAGGCCGTAAAGTTCTAGAGATATCCGTCAGAGATGCGGGAGAGTAGGATGGTAACTGAGAAATCTCCAGAGTGGCAGGAGATGAGAGAGTTTTCTGAGGGATCCTAGAAAATCGAAATGCCCCCTGCCGCCCCATTTGCAGGCCGGGACACCCATTGGCTTGGTCTGCGACCCTAGACCTGCCTAATGAGTGGGAGGGTGGGCTCTTGAAGTTTCGTTTCAGATAGAGCTAGAATGGTTGGTAAGAACTTTATAGTCAAATCCTTGACTACAGTTCTTTTGCGAGGTTGGCCCAAGCCACTGATATTCCATGACAGGAGCCTCATGGGTTCGAATGGAAAGCCTGAGAAGCTCCCTGTGAGGAGGTCAATTTGGCTGACCTTCTCGGGAGCGAGGACGGGTGATCCCACTAAGTTGGAGAGTTACAACCATTAGGAGAGAAAAGGAGAGGAAAAGAGGTTGAGAGGTTCCCTCTATCCCTTTGATCTCACCTTCATGCGACTATGAGCGTCGGCCTGTAAGAAGAGGTGAGCAGGTTCCTCTAGTCCATTGTGTTCGAAACCCCATAACTTTGTAGATTTCCTTCATCTTTTCCTGGTCCCTGTCTCGTTCTTCCATGTTGTCATCACCCGTGGCAAGCGAATCAACGTGATGGAAGCTGGATGCTGCTATTGAAGAGGCAACTTGTGCAGTTCCAATGGAAGTGTCCACAAGAGGAAACTCTTCAACAGAGGTAGGAGGTGCAGTGGCAAGGGGAATCTCTTCAACAGAAGAAGGGGGTAGCGAGACAAGAGAGGCTGAGATCTGGGGAGAAGTGGGAATGGGGGAAGGTAAGCTCAGAGTTGAAGAGGAGGGGGAGGTAGGGGTCGAGGGGAGGAGAGGAGAGGGATTAAAGGAGCATGATGAGGGAGAGAAGGGGAGGAAGCATCGAGAAACCCAAACACAGGAGGGGTGGGGATGAAAAATCAGAGGGGGATAGGGTAGAAAGGGGAGAAGGTGCTACAGCTGAGATCGAAGGGGGGAAATAAGCTAAGTAATGGTGGACATGCACTGTTGAGTAATCTGCCAACCAAAGTTGATAAGGGGGGGATAGCGAACATGCAAGGTTCACACATGGCAGATCCGCACGATATGTGGCTCAAAGTGAAGGTGAGGGGCCAGCAAGCCAGAGACAACGTCTGGTTCCGTGGGGGACAAGTCAGAGGTTTGGACCGAGGCTATACCGAAGGGGAACTGATTTCTATCCGTTAAGTCAGGGAAAAGAAGGAAGGGAACGAAAAGGAGGGAGGTGAAGCCAGGAGGGAGGTGAAGCCAGGAGGGGGTAGAGACAAAGGAGCACTGGTCTGTGGGGAAGCCGTCTCCGGGAGGGCAGAGACAGTAAAGGGGGCGAAGGCAGAGGGCAAGGGCAGAGAGGAAGAAGCGGGGATAGAGGGAGGAGCTGCAAGCGGGATGGCGGGAAAGGACAGGGAAGAGCTAGAGTCAGTGGAGTCACACATGTCCCCTGATGTCTCGAAGAAGGAAAGGGAAGGCGGCATGACAGGTGAGACATGGTGTGAGGGGCAAGGCGAACAAGGGGCAGGTGTCACTCCCAAAGATTTCTGGCGAGGACGCTTGCCAGGTGGTGAGGGAAGCATATGTGGCGAGGGGCTCGAGGTGCCAGCTGTCAGTGGGGGAGAAAAGGGGGTCGAAGAGGTGGGGAGAGAAAGAGGGTCTGAAACTTAGGCCGGGGGGGATCCGAGGGTAAAGGGAAGACTGGGCTGGGCAGAGGGTCAAGAAAGTAATGGGGCAGGCTGGTAACATGCCTGACCGAGCCCTCACCACCAAAGACTTGCCCTGATTGGAAGTGGGACAAAGGGATGGAAGAGGTCGGCTGACACACGGCACCTGTCTCGTCTGGCAGGTGACCGTTTGCATCCTTGGGTAGCTAGAAACTAGGCGGAGAAGAGGAAACCGCCAAAAAAACTTCGGCCTTCCGTCTGAGAACTTTTTTCCGACGTCTTTTCCGTTTAACCAGGGTCCACTGAGAGAGTTCCTTACTGCTCTCCCTGGGGGAAGAAGGACAGTTAAAAAAATGGGGAGAAGGCAGGGAGGCAGGAAACCAAGAGAGGTCGATCCGAAAGTAGCGTTCCTCAACCTTCAACCAGAGATTGGAGGGTATTTGATCCAGTACTTCCAACAGTAGTCGAATGGACCCAAGGGGAAGAAATTCCAGGGATTTCCAAAGGATTGATACAAAATCCCCACAGACAGCTGCAATGCTTTTGAAAGTATCTGGGGACCAGGCATGCAATGGGATATGATCAAGGGGCCAGACTCTCTGTTTAGCATAAGACCCGGCCTTTGAAGACCAAGAATGAAGCCGAGCAATGGCTCCTTTAAAGGAGTGAGGAGGACCCTCGTTTAACACAAGCTGAGCTAGTTATGGAGAGGGAAAGGAGAAAAGAATTTCCCCTCCCGAAAGCTGCCTACAAGAGATATTAAGTTCCTTCCAAGTGATTTTGGCTAGCTTCTCAATCCCCTAAATATCATCTCGCCTTGACGAGAAGGAGCCAACGAGAGGCCTCAAGCTTGGATTTGAGCGGTGCCGAAAAAAACTGGGGAACGGAAACACAGAGAGGATAATCCTTCACAGTAGACTGCCAAGGAGAAATTAGAGGAGTGGGAATTCGGGGAGAGCTAGTGAGACCTTCAGAAGGTTTGTTGTTCTTCGCCACCACTTCTGCGAAAGAAGTAGCCTGAACTACTTGGTGAGGCTGAAAGCGAGCAAGAGGAGAGGGACGAGGGGAAGGAGGAGAGGGCTTGGGGTAGACGGCGTAGATCTGGTTCCAGGATAACGAAAGGGGCTCCATTATTTTCATGTAGTTGTTAACTATTACATTGCTAAGTTTTATAACATGATCGCATTTTGCTAATGGCCTTGTAAACCTCATCACACCACCACCAAGTTTCCTTATCGGAATTTATTTTCCTTCTCTCCTAAAACTTCTTTTGCTACTTTCTTAATATAGTCAGAAATCTCATAATGCATAAAAAAGCACATCTGGATGATGATAACCACAGTTTAAAAAAAAGGATCGGTGACCTGGATCAGCCACCTCAAAAACCGTATCAAAACAGTGGATCGGCAATCCGGATCAGCTGGTTTTGGGCAAAAAAAATTTCAAAAAAATACTACAATTTCTCAAAAATCTAGTTTTTAGGTTTTTAAAAAAAATAATTGCAATTGCATTATTTTTTTCATTATTATGTCGAAAATATGTAAATATTTGAGAACATGTCTCATGTTGAGTGTTTATTATCTATTAAATTCATTTTAAAATCAAAAAATTTAAAATACAACATGACAATAAAAAGAATCTCTCTAACTCAATTTATTTATATTATTATTGTATTAACTAAGAAATTTAATAGAAAGAAGATTCCATTTAGTGGAATTTAAATTTCTCTCTTTCTCTCTACTAAATTCCACAACTAGTACAAAAATAATTGTTATTTGTAGAGAGAGACTACCAAATTCCATAACTAATACAAAAATAGTTGTTATTTATAGAGAGAGACTACTAAATTCCACAACTGATACAAAAATAATTGCTATTTGTAGAGAGAGCAACTACTAAAATCCACAACTGATACAAAAATGATTGTTATTACTGAAGAGAGAGAGAGAGAGAGAGAGAGAGAGAGAGAGCAAGAAGTTATCATCATCATCATAAACTTTTTCCAATTAATTGGGGTCGCTAGAGAATGAAGGCTATATGGAATACATAATTGTGAAATTTATAGAGAGATAGATGCCAAGGAGAGAGAGAGAGATAGGTTAGGGGGGAGAGAGAGGGGCCATGGGGAGAACTAATTTGTAGAGAGGATATATATATAGAGAGAGATGGATGCAAGGAGAGAGAGAAGGTGTTAGAGAGAGAGAGAGAGGTTAGTAGGGGGAGAGAGAGAGAGAGGACATGGGGGAAGGCATTTCATTTTGACGGGGCAAGGGGCTTTAGTTTGACAGGAGGAGGGGGTGCATTAATCCCACTTCGAACCTATAGCTTTTTGTAAGATGGTATAAAAGTATCATGGACCATATGATAAGTGTCCCACGTGACTACAAGTTTGGGTAAGTGGGCTTGCAATAATGAGCCCTTAAGTCAAATCAGCAATGTGAGACCAGCTATGATGGAGTTTTTTATAATTTAAAACGCGGGGCAAACTTTGCATTGAAAATTGTCAGCATGTGAACTAGTGACGTGTCCGGTTTTTTCTGATAGAACCGGTCTGACCTGGCCGGTTCTAGGGGGAGTCGTCTGGATCCCGATATATGAAGGGATCCGGATCACTATGAACGATTTCTAATTCAGATCAGGTGATTCCGGATCCAGATGGCCGAGTTTTCAAACCTTGATGATAACAAAAGCCCAAAGCATATTAGATCCAGACCTAAATTGTTGTGGTTACAGAAACTGTTGCATCGTGACTTCTAAATATTCAATTTTCAGATGGTTTCTTGCATAAAAAGAGTTAAGTATAGAATACATAAAATTGAGTACATTCCCGCCTGCAACAGATTTTATAACACATGTATTTCCAACTAAGCATAGCCTAATCTCAGTAGCAAGTATATTCCTAATTAAATAACATCCAAATATTCAATTAGTACGAGTTAAGAAGCAACAAAAAACAAAGGCAGCTACTTAATTTATTATGCAAAAACTTAGGCAAAGCAGACACCTCTTCTCTAGCTCTTCGAAGCGCTTTGATTTCAACTCCACCTCTTGAAGGTCAGCATTCACCTCTGCACATTGCCTTTCAATTTCTTCAATTGCTGCCTCCAACCTTCTTTCTTCTTCTTCAACCTTCAATGGCATCAAGGAATGAAAACATGCAAACCTTGATATTAGAGGTGAACCCTTTACTGAGATACATAAATGAACAAGAGCAACAAGAATGTACAAACAGCTCAAAAACATGTCAGCTAACATTAAGCACCTTTAGTTTTTCCTTAAGAAAGTCAGTTTCACTGAGAACACCATGCGATTCACTCTCAAGGCGTTGAATGCAAGCTTCATAGGCTTTAATGTCTCTATTAACATCTTCAACCTCCTTATCTAGCTTATCAGACAACACACGCATGCACTCCAAACATAGAGGTTGCTCAATCTACATAATAAAAATGGAAATAACAAATCCAATAATTTTGCGGAACAATTTGAAAACAAGAAAATATGCTTTAAAATGTTCTGAGGGACATTATAAGCTAGAGTCATGCACTTCATACAAGTGAAGGGCAAAACAATTTAGCATACAAAGCCACTAGCGGTATACAAGCTATGCATACTCTTACAAAACCACAAGGACTATAAAAGGCTACAGACAAAAGGAACAAGCCATTCCCTAGAGGAATTATCTAATGTCTCTAAAGTAATTGACCATGAGGAAATAATGGGCACAAAAGTAAGAATAACTTACCTTAATAGGCTATTACCAAAAGATAGCAAGTTTCATACAACAAATATAGTGAAGCATTTTGAAATTTTTGATAATTTCAGACTTAAAACAAGCTTGATGTCCGTAAGGGCACATAAGAATAACCAAGCTACAGTAATGATCAACCACTATTAAAAAGGAATATTTCTATAATAAATGGGAAGGTATTTAATATTTTTAGGAAAATCAGGCATCACGAGACTAATGTTGGCTCCACATGAAAAGAATGACCGTTCCTTGTCAGGAACCATTTCTATTAGCACTTACTCATTTACCGATACAGAAGAAAGAAAAACCAAAACTTTCTTCCAAGCGGCAAATTTTACCATAGAGAGATATCATCAAAAAGAAATCATTATAGTACAACACAAATAGCAGTATGACGAAACCATTCAGTTTGGGGGTGTTAGTATTGAATCAATAGAAAACTCAGAAATCAGCAAATCACCAAAACAAGAACCCACTGAGACCAACTGTACTTTGATGCTCCTCAGTTCTTATTTGGCAAGAAAAAAATGCTTTTATTGAAATAACGAATAATTTTAGATATAGTTGTAGCATGGTTTAAGAAGGGTGATGACCTTAACCCGTCCCATGCTCGGGTAAAAGGGCTGGGTTGTGTTATGTAGGCAGCCAATGTAAAATTTTGCCGAAACTTATCATGAATCCTGAGCCAACAATATTTGCTTATGCGGCATTTGGCCTCATTGAGAGTATGTCTTTTAATAGAACAGAATGGCAAGCCAGGATTCGTGTTGTCAAACCCAATTAATTGAAAAAAGGCTATGATAATGATTAAAATAATTAATAAACACTTGCAAACACTGTATAAATAAACGCTGCTAAATATACAATTTTTCACAACAATGAGCTTATTCATAGCAAGGCCTACATCAATAGGAGAACCAACATGTCACCACCGCAATTTCAGTACCTGTGTCTGGGCAGTGGCTATGTCAAATGCACGTTTCAACACGGTAATACTAGAATTAAACCCAGCATTGCTCATGTTAGAAGGGCTAGCAAGGCCCCCTCCAGGTGGTGGTGTAAGTGGTATGCCACATTCAGGTGAAGATTCAACTTTGTACACAGAAGCAGCAGCTGGTGGCAACACCACAAAGGATTCTTCCATGGCCTTATTGCTATGGCTATCAGTTGTAGAGGTTGCACCTTGAGTAGTAGAGAGTCTCTCTGGCATAACATACTGACCAGGGGGATTCATACTTCCTGAAACAGCAAGATTACCAGGCTGCTGAGATGAACTGCGAGGACGAGGAGGAAAACCAGGACTTCTTTGCTTTGGCAGCATGACAAATGAATTGTCCATTCTACACGATCCCAATATGCTCCCAGCACCATGCATTGAAGAAGCTTGCATTCCTGCATATATTCAATATATGTATAAGCATCTTTTTTAACCTTGCACACACTGATTAGAGCGATTGCACTAGGGAGCCAATGTACAGTTGGTTTAGGTCTCTGTCCATATTTATGTAATTTGAAATCTAATTCAAGCCTTATAGTTCATAGTGTGCAGCTTACATATGTGAAGTCATGTGCAAAATATCCTAAATACTGATTTATTTTGTAATTTGCCGGTTGCCATCATGAACTATATAACTATGCTTTGGGCCTACAACACCCAATCTTACCATACTCAGAAAGGGAAGAAATCAAATAATGTATCTAAACCAATGGTTTTCACATTTTTTGATATAGAAGGATAACATACGTTTTAAGACTCTCATCTGTACCTAATATCCTCCTACCCGAGAGTCTAAGAAATTACAAACATTAATGATGCCCTAATACATCTGGAAATATGACTTTCCTTATTATATAACCAAAAAGACATGAAGCCACCTCAAAAGAAGCAAAAGAAGCAAAGATACTCATGGAAATGGCACAAAGACATGAAGAAGTGAGCTTCACAGAAGCCCATTGATATAGACCGACGAAGTATTCCAAGCCCCATATATTAATTTGCCATAAAGGAGGATGCACTCACCATGTATTCTATTTTTTGCACAAGAAACAAAAACTGGAAAACTGTAAACCCTGAACCCCTTCTCATCGAGATGGTTGACAGTAAAAACCAACTGACCAAAGACTACCACCAACAATAAACACAAGATCCACCAAACAGGTTGAGATAATGAAGATCCTTCTTTGCATCCACATAAAGCTCCATAGAAAGACTTCATCGATAAAGCTTAAAACTTTTCCATTACAACCCTCACACTTTTCTATCACAACCCTCGCATAGTAAAAGACCACTCTAGCTTTTCTAAAAAAGATGTTACTAACCTCAGCCTCCCCATACTTAACCACATAAAATCCATAACAACTACGACGCATTCCAAATTCTTATCTCACTCCTATGCCCAACCCTAACAAAATAGCTTTTCTAGTATCTCGGGTACTATTCAATAAGTTGTTGCCAGTTCCATTTAAGATGAGTTACCAACTCAAAATATTCAAAACTACAAAAGTACAGGGTACAAACTTTCTTTCTCTTGCTTTTTTCATCCAATGATCGATCATTACGTTGGATAGCATTTTTTTTCGCAATTGATGTAATGTGTCACAAGTACACCATAGTTTCAAGTACACCATAGTTCCATTTATTTCCATTTATTTTCCTTTCAATATTTGAAACATGCATGCTGGTAATACACCAGAGTGAGAATGATGGTCCGGATCACAATTGTTATATAGGATGGTGAAATGATCATAGCAATAACCATGGAAATGTTCGTGAGAATAGATTTATAAATACCAAGGATTTCTGACGTTGTCACCTACGATACAGTGGACTGCAGAAGATTGCAAGAAAATAAAACAAATCATCACAAATTTGATGTTTTCCACAATAAAATAAGCCACGCTAATGAAATAACTGTCACGGATCAAAAAATCCCAATGAGGAACCATCAATTCTCAAAAGCAATACGGTTTTCTTTTATGCATAGAAACAACTGAAACAATTCATAAGACAAAAAGGGCAGAAAGCAGGAAAAAAAATTCTCAACACTGATTCACAACGTTGAAGACACCAAACCCTCTTCAGAAACATTAATCAGAAGAATAAAGAAACAAGAACATGCTTAACCCTAACCTGAGCGAGAAGGATCACCAAAGAACTTATCAGCATATGAATCGACCCCTACAACGGATAATGGATGGCGGCAATTCTGGCAAACCCATCTTGGAAGGCTAGGATCCACTGGAAGGCTCCTTCCTCCGCCCTTGTCAGGACTCATCTCCCTATGAATGTTTTTTTTTCTTTTTTTCTTTTTTTGGAGAATTGAACTATTTAAAGTTACAGAAAGCAAGCAAACATAGCTTCTTCTTCATAGGAATTCTGCATAATAACGAACAAACGGTTAACAATAGTTGCAGGGAGAGAGACGGCCTGAATTCCTCTGTAAAATCATGACGTAATTCATATGAAGCTCAAAGATTCATTATTACACCAGCGGGGTGAATACCGGACCCAAAAATAAAAGAGGACCCTATCGCTATAGAAAATATAAGATAAATGACGGTGAAATAGGAATATAGAGAGATTTTGGAATATAAAGGATAAGGCTATATAGATATCTTCGTATTTTCCACAGCTCTTCTTAATCTTTCCTTCTTCTTTTATTTTCTTATCTTTTCTTGACTTTTCTTTTTTTTTTTTAATTAAATGTGAATAAATTCTTAAAAATATTGCTTAAGAAGATAGAAGGAAAAATTACATAGAAATCCGTTATAGTTTATGTTATTACAGTTACACTAAATAATTTCCGTTATTATAGAAGTATCCGTTTTTTATCTTCCATAACACCATTTTTTAAAAAAGACAAGCTTATCCTTTTTCGGATGTTCAACATCTAAATTTATGAGATTTTTGGATATTGAACATCCGAAATTAGCCGCAACTGGATCAGTGTTTTTTCCTATTTTTGGATTTTCAACATCCGAATTTTTGAGATTTTCGGATGTTGAACATCCGAAAATCGCGCGATTGTAAATTTTAACTTCGGCCAGTCTGTTTTCTGCGTATTTGAACATTAGTTCAGTGTTCTTGATATGTGAGTTCTGTTGTGCGTGTATTTGATATCTCATTGGTAAATATTATTAAATAATTCATAGATTTTGATTTTTAACCGTGTACATCTTTGACAGACAGCATTTCTTGGATTTTGAAGCCATTTCACAGAGTGAAGGTATGTGGGACGATTTTTTAAATTTAGAGTGCCACCTAATTTTGGGTTGGGGTTTATACTCAAGCATAGTAGTTATTTCTTGTGAATTTAGTTAGGATAGATTGAATTAATTTGTGGCTCCATTGTGATTGAATTAGATTTTTAAAATTTGTGGGTTTTGAGAATTTGGAATTTTATAGTCTCTGTAGAACTGTAAATACTTTTTAAATTTAGAGGTTTATACTCTTAATAGCACAAAATAATTGGGTCTATGCTTATTGGGTGTGTTTCTTGCGGATTGTGGTTTTGCTCATGTTTTCTGTTATAATTTGGGGGTTTTGCTCCTGTTTATAAGTAGCATGATAGGTGACCATACCATTGGATTTAATCTGTTGCTTGTATTATAAGTAGCATTGTTCTTTGTTATTGTTTGAAATTGTTGCTTGAAATTAAATTGAATTTTTTCTTTTTTGATGGAGTTATTCGTCTATCTATAAATCGAATTATTCAGTTTTTTTATTGAACTACTTGGTTTTTTAATGGTTTGGTTGCTTAGTTAACATGAATTCTTTGTTTTTGATGGGATGATTTAGTTGCTTATGAAAGTTGGATTCTTGTCTTTACAATGAAATGATTAGTTGCTTATCAATGTTGAATTTTGTTGAAATGATTTAGTTACTCATTAAAGTTGAATTCTTTAGTTTTTAGACGATGATGGTACTTGGAAGGAGACACATGTGTTTTTATTTGTTTATCTAGGGTTTGGTTATTGTTTAGCTGAGGTCCATTGAATTGGACTCAGTGTAGTGTCATGTAGTTTTGAATTTGTTACTGATAAAAGAAGTAGATGAGCATTGTGCATATCTAGTTAATTACGGGGTACCAGTTCTTCAAGTAGAGATATTAAATTGGATTTAAGAACTGGATAGGGGACTTCTTTTTAGCTTTAGCTAATTAAGGAAGTTGTTTAGTGGTTTTTGAAAAACTATTTGAATTCTTCTTAGTTACCTGTTTTACTCAAAGAATCAATTCTTTTTTTGGCCACCATGTTCACTGATTGATTTTGATTTTCAAGTATATGATCCTGAATTGTATTAGCGTAGCAATTTCATTTTAGCATTGTTCTTCTTTCATCAATGGATTGTAGCACTGTTCTTCTTCATCAATAGCATGTCATTATTGTTTTTTTGTTATCCTGTTAATTTTTGTATATGTAACCTTATAATTAACATGGTGACTATATGGGATTTTAGTGAATATGAATCGTCTACATCTAGATGGAGGATATCCAGGAGGTCCTTAAGACCCATAGTTTGTTGTAACTTCATCAAGAACATACATCATATTTCATATGAGAAGGACATATATATGCATATATTCATCTGCCCATTCTATTAATTTATTATTTTTCAATAAATTGTAGTCAGGTTCAAACATCCTATGAGAAGTACATGTATATAAATTGGGACGAATATGTTATCTATTTGTTGTATTTCAGGAGAAACAAGAAATTAGAATTGATGAGAAGAGTTATCAATTAAATGAATGACATCTAACAGAAGAGCAAGTTCAATTAGTAAACGGGTCTGGGTTGGGTGCGATATCTATTATTCGACCAGGCCGAATTGATCATCCTTTGGTCACAGCTAATGTAGAGAGGTGGCGTTCTAAGACAAACACATTCGATTACAACATTCATATTGGTGAGATGACACCAACGCTTTAAATGTATATGAGATATTAGAACTGGTTGTGGATGGCGAGCCAGATACATGTCGTCCTATCAGTGACCTGCGATAGTATATAGAAGACAATTTGGGTATAGTCCCTAATGGCAACATGACAAGCATGAGGCATACATGGTTGAAGGTGAATTTTTGGGAATTGCCACCTGATGCAACCCCTGTTTAAGTTTATAGATACACTCGAGCATATCTGCTCTTCCTCATCAGTGTCACCATATTCGATGATGCATCAGTTTCAACAGTGCCAATAAAGTACTTATAAATTTTTGAAGATATTGAGGGAGCCAATAGATATGCTTGGGGTGTTGTAGCCCTTGCATTCCTCTATCGCTCACTTGGAAAAGCTTGTAATTTAAAGCGAAGACATTTAGTGGTTCATCCACTCTCATGCATGCAAATTTTTTTTTTTTGTATATGACATAAGTGTAATAGTTTAGACTGCTTTACTAAAATATTTAATATTTATCATATTTTTATTTATTGTAGTGTCGTATGAGCATATTATGCATATGAGGTCCATACCGCATAGTATCTCTCCAAATATGCCTATGGCCAAAAGATGGGAGCCACCGAAGAAATATCTTGGCAGTCCACATAACCTAATACATCCCATCAGACAAGAATTTGATAACCTCCAACCTAATGAGGTCAGTGTATAATTTGATATTGATTACTTTCAAATGTATTTAAGTATTTGTAATTATTTTTATTGACTGATTGCATATCATATAACAGGTAATATGAAATCCTTATTCCAAGCCCGATGCGATCATTTCAGATGATAGGCAGCAGGCATATGAAACTGCAATGTGCATAACAACGTTTATATTTGACCATATTGCCGAGCAGTACATGCCAAATCGAGTACGCCGTCAATTTGGAGCTAAATAGGGCATTCTTAAAAATCCCTTGGTTGTTGGTAAGAGGGCTAGCAGAAAAGGTGGACATCGAGATTGGCGAACTGTAAATGCAGACAAAATCCAACGCTGAGAAACTTGATGCCTGAAATTGAAGAAGATACTGACAATGGATTGTCCTCAAAGGAGTACAAGGCCTGATACAACCTAGTGTCTCATCCTCTAGTACATAATATCACTAATCCACCCAAAGACATATTGCAACCTCATAAACAAAAAGAAGAAGATGTGGTTCGCTCATGGACCATAATATATAATGAGACCTCGAGGTTATGAGGATCAATTGGTATGTTTATATTGACCTACAAATTCTTATAGTATTGTACTTACCTATTAGTTCCATGAAATTATTTAAATATATTAATTAGGTAATCTTGTTTGTGCAGGTAAGTGCAGTTCAGGCATCTAAGTGCAGTTCAGGCATCTACAATCATATTAGCAGAGGCACTTACACTTAGACATAAGTGAAATCCTGAAGTGTATAATCACGTTAACAACACGTTTGAAACTTTTTCTAAGTTTATGCCTGTGGATATGGATACCATAGAAGCCAGGATGGAAAGTTTACAACGTGAATATCATGATGAAGGTGTACCTGACAAGGCCGGACATGATGGAGTGGGTGAAAATAATTGGGCTATAGAAGACCTAGCTCCATCCACACAACCAGCAGTTGAAGAACACAGAAGATATAACACGCGAAAGAAACAATATCAGCCCAAGAGAAGGAGACGAATGTAATGGGGTCTTGACCCTTGTAATTTTGTTCATTTTGAATTTATTGGAACAATTAATTTGTTCATTTTGAGCGATGTAATGTATTGGTCATTTTGTTCAATGAATTTTGTTACGTACAATTTGGTTAAGCCTTTCTACTTTCTTACTTGTGAAGTTCAAATGATATTATATGAGGTGCCGATGTTGTAATAATGTTTAAAAATAGAAACAGTAACAATGTTTAACGTGTCAAAGTTGTAAAATATGAATTAATGGCTATTGATTGAGTCACTAATTTGCTTCAAAATTAATGGCCATCCTAGTGATGGTCCTCCCTAATTCTCACTAAAATTTGCTGCTAAATTAATCTCTCTGCTACTTGCTTGAGTCTAGAGTCGATGATTTAAAAAGGTATGTTTAAGTGACCAGTGAGATCAACTGATACTTCACATGTATTAGCGACCAGTGACATTGAGACTAAAACTTCATAAGGAGCATTGAGACCAACTCATCCTTCATATGTATATGTAATCAGTGACATTTTCGGATGTACAACATCCAAAAATGTCAAGTTTTCGAATGTTGTCAACATCCGAAAATAATTTCGGATGTCCAACATCAGAAATTATAACATTTTCGAATGTACAACGTCCGAAAACTTGACCTTTTTGGATGTTTAACATCCGAAAATAACACTGCGAACATCCAGGGAGTCCCTCGATGTTCGCAGTGACATTTTCAGATGTACAACATCCGAAAATATCACAATTTCGGATGTTGGACATCCAAAATTATTTTTAGATGTACAACATCCTAACACTTGATATTTTGGGATGTTCAACATCCGAAACAGTTTTATTCATGTCACTGCTTTTAGTAGCATGTGATCACTTATATGTCGCTGCTTTATCAACTTATTAATAGCATGTGAACTATCAATTATGCTATTAATATCAATCAATTATGCTATTAACTCAAATTGTGAAATG